TTACCACAGTTTCTTGGCTTTCCTTGCCTGAAAAGCTCTCATGTGATTTTTAGCCAGATCTGAATGCCTTAAGGGGTTATCCTGAGGACAGAGTGCTGTTTAGGGCATTTGCCATTCTATGAGTCTGCTGTGTGTCCTGCTTCCCACCCACATGGAATTGCAACTGCAGTACAACAAGCTCTCCCTCCTGCTGCTATCCACAGCTCCATGGATTCGTGGATGCCCCCCTCACTTGGTCTGCTATGGGTTGGCACTCACCTCCCCAGTCAGAGTCTCTGCTGTTTCCTTTTCTTATTTGCTTTTTTGGCGCGGACTTGACAGTCTCTGCTGTTCTTGTTGGGTTTCCCACTGCAAGTTTCCCAAACCTTATCTCATCAGATCACATCTGCTCTCATTTGATCTCATCTGATCTGATCTCATCTCATCTAATCTTCTCCCCCTTTAGCTATTAATTTTTTCCATGTGATTCAGATCATCTGATCCCTATTCTGCCACCTCGGAACCCAGTGCTGTACTACTGTTCCTCTATTGAATTATAGACAAACCTATGAGCTGGATATGGCTGTTTTCAGGTTTGTTTTGTCTATGAACCAACTGAAGCTGTGAGATTAAATAATTTTCTGTATCCTCCCACCCTCAAACCCCCAACACCCAACAAACACAAGAGCTGAGGTTGACTTCAGGTATTCTTGTCAAAAGTTGGATTCTTCTTCACCTATCAACCAATCAATATGTTCTAATTGTGAGGCACAATCCACAATTCAGAGAGTCCAACATTAAGCATTCAATCAGACTATTTAGATTCTGATTGGCACAGCTGTGATTGTCAAATAATTTCAGAATATTTGATGTCTTCAAATATCTAATGATTCCCTGGGGTGAATGACTTTGCTTTCATGATTTTCTCCTACCCACAAGTCAAATTTCATGATTTTCTCATAAATATGTTCATATTTATATTTAGTTTGGTTGTTGTTACTGTCACCAATAGTATAGTTTTTCCTATTCAGCATATGTCATGTTAATAGTCTGTCTAGAGAGACTGATTAATTCTTATGTGCTGGCTATTCTTTCAGTTAACTTGAATTCCTTTCATGTGTGATAGTTTCACAGTTGATAAACTTCTATTTCTCTGTTTTACATAATATGCATATAACGTTCACTTAGTCCACTCACTCAGTTTTTCAAATACATCTTCCCTTTTATTTTCAGAAAATATGATAATGACATGCTTTTTGCTAGTTTGATAGACTGACTTCTTTAGAATAAAGATTCACTGACACTTGGGTTGAACAGAAAGTGTAGGGACATCAAATATATCATCTGCCTGATACACTTAATGGCTTCCATGGTATCCTCCACAGGGTGAACCCACAATGAGACCTCAAGATCATGCAAAGTACATAGTTATCGTTACTATTTCCTCCATTGTGTTTATTTTCTTTTTTTAAAAAAAACTTTTGTTTAGTAAATATAAATTTCCAAAGTACAGTTTATGCATTACAATGGCTTCCCCCAACCATAACTTCCCTCCCACCCGCAACCTTACCTCCATTCCCTCTCCTATTCCCTTCAAATGAAGATTCATTTTTTTTTCTTTTTCTATTTTGACAGGCAGAGTGGACAGTGAGAGAGAGAGACAGAGAGAAAGGGCTTCCTTTGCCGTTGGTTCACCCTCCAATGGCCGCTGCGGCTGGCGCGCTGCGGCCGGCGCACCGCGCTGATCCATTGGCAGGAGCCAAGTACTTATCCTGGTCTCCCATGGGGTACAGGACCCAAGGACTTGGGCCATCCTCCACTGCACTCCCTGACCACAGCAGAGAGCTGGCTTGGAAGAGGGGCAACTGGGACAGAATCCGGCACCCCAACTGGGACTAGAACCCGGTGTGCCGGCGCCGCAAGGCAGAGGATTAGCCTAGTGAGCCGCGGAACTGGCCTAAGATTCATTTTCAATTATCTTTATATACAGAAGACCAATTTAGTATATATTAAGTAAAGATTTCATCAGTTTGCACCCACATAGAATATAAAGTGTAAAATACTGTTTCAGTACTAATTATAGCATTAATTCATATTGAATAACACATTAAGGACAGAGATCCTACATGAGGAGTAAGTTCACAGTGATTCCTGTTGCTGACTTAACAATTTGACACTCTTGTTTATGGCATCAGTAATCTCCCTAGGCTCTAGTCATGAGTTGCCAAGGCTATGGAAGCCTTTTGAGTTCGTCGACTCTGATCTTATTCAGACAAGGTCAAAGTCAAAGTAGAAGTTTTCTCCTCCCTTCAAAGAAAGGTACTGCCTTCTTTGATGGCCCGTTCTTTCTAGTGGGATCTCACTCTCAGAGTTCTTTCATTTAGGTCCTCTTTTTCTTTTTGCCAGAGTGTCTTGGCTTTCCATGCCTAAAATACTTTCATGGGCTCTTCAGCCAGATCCAAATGCCTTAAGGGCTGATTCTGAGGCCAGAGTGCTGTTTAGGACATCTGCCATATTATGAGTCTGCTGTGTATCCCACTTCCCATGCTGTATTGTTCTCTCCCTTTTTGATTCTATCAGTTAGTATTAGCAGACACTAGTCTTGTTTATGGATCCCTTTGACTCTTAGACCTATCAGAATTATCAGTTGTGAACTTAAATTGATCACTTGGACTAGTGAGATGATATTGGTACATGCCACCTTGAAGGGATTGTATTGGAATCCCTTGGCACATTTCTAACTTCACCATTTGGGGCAAGTCCAATTGAGCATGTGCTGAACTGTACATCTCCTCCCTCTCTTATTCCCACTCTTATATTTAACAGGGATCACTTTTCAGTGAAATTAAACACCTAAGAATAATTGTGTGTTATGTTCTTTTTTCTTAAACAACCTTTTCCATTTTTTTTATTTGACGGGCAGTTTTAGACAGTTAGAGAGAGAGACAGAGAGAAAGATCTTCCTTCTGCTGGTTCACCCTCCAAATGTTTGCTATGGTGGGCAAGCTCTGCAGACCTGAAGCCAGGAGACAGGTGTTTCCTCCTGGTCTCCCATGCAGGTGCATGTGCCCAAGCACTTGGGCCATCCTCTGCTGCCTTCCTGGGCCATAGCAGAGATGGACAAGAAGAGGAGCCCCCAGGATTTGAACTGGGTGCCCATATGGGATGCTAGCACCACAGGCAGAGAATTAAGCATGTTAGCCATGGTGCCGACTCGCATTGTGTCTATTTTCAAGGCTTGGAACAATGAGTCATGTTTTCTACACAACATAATGGTAATAATGGCCTTTCCTGTACCTTTGTTGTAATCTGTCCATTCATTCTCCTACATCATTCTTTTTTTTTGTAAATATTTATTTTATTTATTTGAAAGCCATAGTTACAGAGAGAGGTAGAGACACCGAGAGAGGTCTTCCATCTGCTGGTTCACTCCCCAGGTGGTTGCAGCTGCAGGAATGCCCCGATCTGAAGCCAGGAGTCAGCAGCATCCTCCAGGTCTCCTACGTGGGTGAGGGGCCCAAGAACCTGGCTGATCTTATAATGTTATCCCAGGCCATAGCAGAGAGCTGGATCAGAAGAAATGCAGGCAGGACTAGAACCAGCGCCCATATGGGATGTCAGCGATTCAGGCCAGGGCTTCAACCTGTGGCACCACAGTGCCGGCCCCCTCCTACTCCATTCTAATAGCGACCATTTATCTTTCTTTTGTCTCCATCATACTCTTTTCAATTTGTGCTATCATTCGCAGCATGTTCAATGTTCAGTTAGCTTCTTTAAGTATCTGAAAGAAGCTTGGTGGTAGATATAGGGATCAATTATTTATTTCTCAAGAGGCATATGAGCTCAGATTTTAAAGCTCATACCACACTAAGCACAAGCACAGATCAGTGCAGTCCATCACAAAATGTCACTACCTGCATTCTCCCATAGGTGACCAGACTATTTCAGACATACCACAGCTCCAGGACTGTCAAGACAGCAGCTAGGCTATGTTGGCACACTAATATGAGACCTGGTATCTTCCCTTGCCTGAGTGAAGCTGGGAGCAGGAGGTCTTTCCTGTCCTGTGATACAGCAAGATCTACGGAGCATACTGTGCAAGAGCGGTCAGAAACTATTTTGCTGAGTCTAAGTTAATATCTCCTGTTACTCACATGCCTTTCATATAGCTTCTAGTTCTTCATAAATGATTCTAGACTGTGAATTATCTATACCAATGTTTGTGAGAGGTAGAGGCCCTCACAACTTCCTGCTATGTCGACTGGTTAATATCACTCATCAGATTTTCTCTTCCTGGAATGAAAATGTGAATCCATGCAATGTGTCAACATCACCTGTGTTGAACGTACCCGAGACAGGACTGAGGCTGGTGAAAACAGGGAGGAAATTATTTTCACCATGAAAGTCTCTGTAAGTGAGATATTTAAGCCATGTTGTATGGGAATTGAGTGGATATAGTGGTGATGGAAAGAGAGACAGGGAAAAGAATATTCTTGTTCACTGTGCATCAGCATGCAAGTGAAACATACCAGATCAGCTGTCACACAATGAGAGGTTGGGGGACAACATGGGGTCTTCTGTATGTCTGTTCTTTCTGAACCAAGAGACAAACATGCAGTTTCCTGTAGTCTCTGCCCATCACTTACTGTTCTCAGAGAACACGGGGGCCTCTGCATGGACAGATAAAAGAAAGGTGCAAAAATCATAATCCTAAAAGCAAACTATTCCAAACCTAGCATTTCGTTGTCACTCTAATACACTTCTAGCTGACAGAGCAGAGTGTTCCCTCAGGCTATCATCTTGTGTACATTAAGGGAGGTGTGCAGACTCATACTGATGAAAATCATCTACCCGGCCTGAGGAAGAATGGCTGGAAGCCAGGTCTTGTGACCTCCCACAGGCCTCTGTGGGCAGAACTCACAAGGCTCACGAGGTACAAATAGCCCTGGGCTCCTGCTTCTCCACATTCCCTGCAGGAAGAACCATCCTTCACAGTTCTCTAAAGCTGAGAGCTCAAAGCAATGAAGCTGCTGGTGCCTCTCCTGCTGGTCGCTCTGGCCCTTGGCTGCTATGAGGGTGAGTATCATTTGTAGTGAGTATGGTAAAAGCCTTCTCTTCACAGCAAGTGATGTTATTTGATGTGGGAATACGATCTGGAACAGATCACAGTTCCAAAGTCTCCCCTCAGTTTAGTGAAATAGCCCCCAACATCTCAAGGTTCACAGTAAACTTTCCCATATCCAGAAAATTGACAAGAACACCATTACAGGAAATTTTGGGAAATTGATAGGAGCATGACTCCTTGGCTGGTGTGTGAACTTTGACAGCAGCAGAGTATAGTGGGAAGTCTCAGTGTAAGTCTTAACTCTACCACTTTTCAGCCTTTTGACCTTGAGCCAAATGTTTACTGTGTTCCAGTCTCCTCTTATCCTTTCAGTTTCTAGCTCACAACATGAGTAAGAATGCAGTGAGATTAAAGATGTCATGAGTCCCATTATAGACATGAAGATAATATCTGTAATGATCAGGTATTTTTCTCCCCCTAACAGAGTCCTAAATTCAGTCATTATGTGTTATAGTTGTAATGAACTGTGTAGAGTGTCCAGTCTGAGAAGAGCCAGTTGTGTCTGAATCTCTTGAGTAAGGTAGTTCCAATGGGTTAAGGAACAAAGGAGCCATTTATGAGAATTCCAGATTTCCTAAGAGTGCTCAACCCACGGTAGATTTACTGTACAGGTTAGCACTATATGACTTTTCTTTCTGTAGAATTAACTCTGATGATGCTTTCAACATACAAAATGGTGCATCTCTTCACACCCTTGGAAATGATCCAAGGTTCTCTGAAACCCACTTTATCCTCTCACTTTCTGAGCCCACTCCTAGCTCCAGCATTTTCTCTTTGGTTATTTTCTTTCAATGTTCCACCTAATGTTTGATGTGATCTGGAATACATTCAACAGTCAAGGTTATTATGTTTGCAAAGTGAGTACAAAATCTCGAAGGAGAGAGAAGTTAAGTTCTGCACAAAAAGTTCTTCCAGATCTGCCCACAATTTCTGGTAGGGCAAGAATGAGATAGAGTCCCCTCCATTCATTCTTGTGAAGGATTTCAACATCCTGTAAAATAGAAGACAAATCACTGTTTACTGCAGAAGATTCTGATGTCGAAAGAATGCTTCTGTCTCTTTGAAGTTTAATTTTTAGTTCATCTACACCCAATGGCATAAACTGAGTTCCTCCTATCCAGCCTCAGACTATCCCCAGCTCAGATACTAATTATTTCACACACTCCCCTCCAGATTTACTCTCACTGCACATCTATGCACATCTATGATAAGAATCTGCCACCTCCTTTGACTTCCAAATTTGATCATCCTAAAGTTTCTTTCTCCAGAATCCATGTCTGCTAAGCTGTCACTCAATGTGCAGACACACGTGAGCTTTCTCAAATACTGAAAGGGAATTTCAGCAAAGGCGAGAAGCCCTGGAAAGCAGTAGATGCCTACTAGAATACATACCAAAACTGAATTAGTGTGGAAGAAACTGCTTCTCTGGTCTTAGTTCTGTCACTCGGTATGCAATTCAGAGGAAATTACAACATCAAGGGTTTTCCATTGTCATTAGCACAGTTACAGGTTGCAAAGAAGAAACTCTGGGGATCTCGTTTTGTCTGATGTTAGAGAGCCCTGGGCAGGGGGAAGACCTGTCATATGTAAACTCTATTTCTATTCTTGTTCTCCAGCTGATGCAGCAGCGTGTCCAGCCTTTGTTGCTGACAGCACAGCCTGTTTACTGGCCACAAAATCTGCTTTTCGGCTAGCTTTAGCAAAATACAATGCACCTCCTGAAGCTGTTGAGGCAAAAATGCAATTGAAGGAATGCACGGATAAGATCGCCTTAGAAAAAAGACAGCTCATGGCAGCAGTGCTGGTAATTTCATTCTCCTTTATGCATAGAGATCCTGTTTGGTCACAACACAAGGCATGATGTCAACTGGCTGTTCTATGTGGTGCCCAGTAGTCAGAACACCTGCCTTGCTAATGTCCTCAGCATAGGGTTGAAGATACCAGAATACCTGCTAAATTAAACTCAGCTACACGTGGTATCCTGGGATCCTGCATGCCTCTCCTCAGATGCCATCATCCTTTGTTGTACCAATCAAGAAGACATTCTGAGATCGAAGCAATGATGTTGAAAGCTCAGGCTCTCATTCCTTCCTGCATCTGAGCTGTCCTGAGGATGAACACCACCATCCCAGGGCATTTAGTCACTTTAGAGACTTGCATGTGGATGCTGGGTGTGTTGGACAGTGAGCCAGACTGAAAGGAGGAGACTGGACTTATTTTCTGTCCAATCATGTGTTGGTGGTCTGGGATTCTCTCCCAGCTCCTCCTAACTCCCTTGATTTCAATGTGTGCATTGCTGCTTAGTCTCCTGCGGTTTCAAATATATCTCTTTATCAGAAAACCTGATGGTAAAGATGTCTCTTATCCTGTCTGATCCTGCTTTTAGATAGTCAGTTCAGGTGCAAATGCCCACAAATGTTGAACCTTAGTGCTGAGAAGTTCATGAGTCCTGAAGCAAAATTCCCATGGAGACTTGAATCTACACCCATATGGGATGCTGGCACTGCTGGCTCCTTGTCTTGGTCTTAATGCTACCCCTTCTGTTTGAAACTTGAATGATACACCTGGGTCCTCTAACAAGTATACAGGATCTCATCCACAAGAGCATATTACAAAAATCCTAGGTAGGCCTTCAAATTTTTTATGTTATAATAGACAGATTTTTATATTTATTGAGTAAGAGCTTTTGGAGGTCCCTTATATTTTACTTACTTTAGAAAGGCTGTCACCTAATGTGTCTTGTTGGTGAAAATTCCATCAGTTCATGCCATGATTTCTCATACACCCTGCTTTTTGGCTTTCTAATTTTACATAATGTTTTTTGAAAGCAGAATTTCAGTGACTTCTGGTTGGTGGTGACCTGTTGTCTCTAGGAGCAGTATGAATAAACTCAGTTTTTCTCTCTCTCTTTTACCTTTCTATTTTCATTTTAGGCACAAATTGTGAAGGAATGTGAATTGTGAAATCTGGCCATCATTTGACCGTGGTTTCCATCGTCTCTACTGGATAGCCTAATCTTAGTGTAAAATGTAAAGGTTTCAACGTTTTTCTTAATAAATTACTTTCCCTGCACTTCTCTAAGTGTCTATTTATTACTTACAGGCACGTGTCTTGAAATGGGGATCTTTACATCACAAATTTGCCCTTGAGTATTAGATTAGCAATGATCAATTGCAGAGAGCCAACATCTTGTCACAAATGGCATCCTGAGGTTCAGGCAGCAATAAAGACACAAGGGACCAGCAACTATTCTGTCTTACTTCCCAGATTTCCCATTCCCATGACCATGAATCAGAGCGATGCAAAAGAGTGAAAAGTAACTCCAACAACATTGTTGATCTTTTATTCAGAGACACTGAAGCCTCAAAGACTGTCCAGTCTCATGGTTCACATTCTGCAGAAGTCCTGATGTGACGTCCTGGTCATCTACAGAGTCATCCTGCATAGGGTCACTTCTACAATAGTATTTGAACCTATGCCATGCCCAGTATTCATTCATTGCCAATTCTCACAATTTGATATGTATCTTCAGGTGTAAACCCCCACCTGAATCTTGATCCCAGACACTCAGAGAGCTCATCAGTGTTGACCAGCTAACCAAAACCCTAACATTAACACTTCCTCTTAAACATCTTTCACAATCTCCATCAAAAGGAGTAACTGACACTTAGACAATTATCTTCAAGAACTCATTAAAACCTGTCTTAAGAAAGATTTGAAAATGGAGTGTCCCTAACCTGCTGTTCCTTCCACAAGTCCCTCCAAGGGTAATGGACACTTAGACAACAAGTCATCTGACTTAGAGAATGTGAAATCATCATAGGCTTCTGGCCTGCTTCCCTCTGGCTGCTGTAAAAAACTACCAATACTATGTGAGAAGAAGATCTACAAAATGCAAATGGGATTCTCTCTATAATTAGCCAAAATGACCAGATGCCATATGTTCCCAAGGGTTTCAAGTAAGAAGACTTATTAATCACATATCTATTTTCATGTCTAATAATGGATGAATAGTAAGATAATACACACCAATAGTAAGATCCTTAAATAGTGAGAATTCCTTTCTAAAAGTATTTATATTTTCTTTTTATAAAGACATGTATTTATATGAAGGACAGAGAGTTACAGATAGAGAGAGGGAAAGTAATAGAGAATAATAGAAAAGTAATAGAGAAAGAGGGAGAGTAAGAAAGAGAGAGGCTGATTGATTTCCAATGTACTCCCCAAATGCCCTCATCAACACTGGGGCAAATCTGGGAAAAAGGAACCCAATCCAGTATATCCATGCATGCAGTAGTAACCCAACTAATTAAACCATCACCAATGCCACCCATTGCCTGTATGCTCAGGATTCTGGAATAAGGTAACAGAGTCATGTGTGGAATTCATTCACTTTGTTTTTTAATAGAAAACTTTTATTTAATAAATATGAATTCCATAAGCACAACTTTTGGGTTACAGTGATTCTTCCCTCCACAGACGCTCTCACACCCCTAAGCCATCGCATCTGCTATTCCCTCTCCCATCCCATTCTTCATTAAGATTCATTTTAATCATCTTTGTATACAGAAGATCAACTCTATCCTAAGTAAAGATTTCAACAATTTGCACCCACACAGACACAAAACATATAAAGTACTGTTTGAAGACTAGTTTTACCATTAATTCTCATAGTACAACACATGAAGGACAGAGGTCCTACGTGGAGAGAAAGTGCATGGTGACTCCTGTTGTTGATTTAACAATTGACACTCTTATTTATGACCCAAGGCTCTTGTCGTGAGCTGCCCAGGCCGTGGAACTCTCTCAAGCTCACAAACTACAGAATTATTTAGACAAGACCATAATCAAAGAGGAAGTTCTCTCCTCCCTTCAGAGAAAAATACCTCCTTCTTTGATGACCCTTTCTTTCCATGGGGATATCACTCACAGAGATCATTCATGTAGGTCATTTATTGCCACAGTGTCTTGACTTTTCATACCTCAAAAGCTCTCATGGTCTTTTTAGCCAGATGCGAATGCCTTAAGGGCTGATTCTGAGGCCAAAGTGCTGTTTGGAGCATTTGTCATTCTAAGAGTCTGCTGTGTGTCCTGCTTCTCAAGTTTCCTTTGACACTTAATCCTATCTGTATGTTTAGTTATGAACTTCTACTATTCCTTCAACTAGTAAGATGTCATTTGTACCTGTCAACTTAATGTGATTTGGAGTCCCATGGCAGGTTTTTAGCTCTACCCCTATGATTAATCCTTGGGAACATGTACTGAACTTTACATCTCCTCCCTCTCTTATTCCCACTTTAATTTTTACAGGGATCAATTTTTATTGGACTTAAATGCCTAAGTATAGTTAAAACACCTAAGTTGTAAAGAGATCGATCAATGATATTAAGAAGAGTAAGAAAATACTAAAGAATAAAATATTAACCTGTTCCTTGACAGTCAGGACAAGGGCCTATTAAGTCATTGCTTCTCATAGTATCAGTTTCACTTCTAGAGATTCTCTTTTACGAGCTCTGTTAGTTTTCACAGATCAAGGAGAACATATGACATTTGTCCCTTTGGGACTGGCTTATTTCAAGCGGTATGATGTTTTCCAGATTCCTCCATTTAGTTGCAAATGACCCGATTTCATCTTTTTTTTTTTTTTTACTACTGTGCAGTATTCCACAGAGTACATATGCCATAATTTCTTTATCCAGTCTTCTGTTGATGGGCATTTAGGATTAATCCATGTCTTAGCTATTGTGAATTGAGCTGTAATGAACATGGAGATGCAGATAGCTCATTTATTTGCCAATTTCATTTCCCTTAGGTATATTCTCTTTTTTTGACAGGCAGAGTTAGACAGTGAGAGAGAGAGAGAAAGAGAGAAAGGTCTTCCTTCCGTTGGTTCATCCCCTAAATGGCCGCCATGGCCAGTGCGCTGCGCCAATCTGAAGCCAGGAGCCAGGTGCTTCCTCTTGTTCTCCCATGCAGGTGCAGGGCCCAAGCACTTGGGCCATCCTCCACTGCCTTCCTGGGCCACAGCAGAGACCTGCCTGGAAGAGGAGCAGCCAGTAAATAATCTGGCACCCCAACCGGGACTAGAACCCAGGATGCCAGCGCAGCAGGCAGAGGATTAGCCTAGTGAGCTATGGCACCGCCTTCCTTCTTTCATATTGATGACCATGTTTTCTTGTATTTTTGTGTAACCGAACTTTAAACTTCTTTTCCAGGGCTCGATGAGAGGTGACAAATTCTTCAGTTTCTGTTTGCTATGAAATGTCTTTATTTCACCTTCACTCACAAATGAGAGTTCTGCAGGGCATAATATTCTTGGATGACACTTTTTTCTCTTAGACTTGGGCTATATCTTGCCATTGTCTCCTAGTCTGTAGGGTTTCTTTTTTTAATTTTTTTAAACTTTATTTGATGAATCTAAGTTTCCAAAGTACAGCTTATGGATTACAATGGCTTCCCCCCCATAACGGCCCTCCCACCCGCAACCCTCCCCTTTCCATCTCGCTCTCCACTTCCATTCACATCAAGATTCATTTTCAATTCTCTTTATATACAGAAGATCAGTTTAGCATACATTAAGTCAAGATTTCAATAGTTTGCATCCACATAGAAACACAAAGTGAAAAATACTGTTTGAGTACTAGTTATAGCATTAAATCACAATGTACAGCACATTAAGGACAGAGATCCTCCATGAGGAGTAAGTGCACAGTGACTCCTGTTGTTGACTTAACAAATTCACACTCTTGTTTATGGCCTCAGTAATCTCCCTAGGCTCTTGTCATGAGTTGCCAAGTCTATGGAAGCCTTTTGAGTTCACCAACTCTGATCATATTTAGACAAGGCCATGGTCAAAGTGGA